CACCCTTTTATGTTACCAACACTCCCTGACAGCAGCGGTCTCGTCCCAGCATGATGAAACCTGACGCAAAACCTTCCCGGGAACATGATCTCCACCTAGAGGCCAAAACTTCTAAACTCCACTAAAATCTGTTCGACCATCAGCAGGATGAGCCAGAGCAGGCAGAGCAATCAATGCAGCCCACATTATTAAAGGACAGTCATTAGGGTCGGGCACGGACCTCAAGTCATGGGCAGTTTTTGTTTGTGGGGGAGACCACTGCTGTTGCAACGGGTGGTAGCATGTAGATGTGCATGAGCCTGGTCTGCAGAAATCGTGATAAATACCAGGGTCCTGGGGCAGAATCTTTAATTGCATCAAAATTATAAATGTTATTCATTTAAACTGCCAGGACTTCTGTTCTCACAGCCTGGGGTGACCACATTATGACTGTCCCCACTTTGTGACATCATACAGAGCCAATAGTGGAAACATTTTTATAAACGGAGGGTTTGGAGCAGTGTGAGTTTTGGGCTCAGCCATGTTTAACATGACTATCCACCATCTGATTTATGACAGAAGCAGACAGACCAGTCCACCTAAATGTTGTGGCTCATTGGTGTGTGTTACTTTCTGTGTTTAGTAGCTCCAAAAACCAGAATCGACTCTTTGTTACAGACATACAACAGTTTTGTTTACAGCCTTGTAAACGTCACCTCCAGCATGGCGTCAGCTGTGACGTAACATCTATGAACCTAACCTTACAATGTTCAAAGACTGAGAGACTCCACAGCTTCCCAGAGCTCATATGTGCACATACAGAAGCAACAGACATGGGCGTACAAACCAGCAACAGAGGGAGCGATGGACTCTACAGTGCCTGAAAATCTAGGCCTCGTGTTTACAGGAAAAAATGAAATTCCCCTGTCACCGTGAAGCTATTACTCTACCTTTTTTGTTTGTTTTTTAAGCACAGCTTGAGCCTCTGTTCTCTAACAACACTATGCAACGTCCAGCTCTGACTCTTCTGCTTTCAAAAGACACTAAATCGTTAAATCCAGCAGAGCAGAGGCGGGGATGAAGAGCCGGATCGAGCTGTCGGGCGTCTCTGCACATGTTTTCCTTTTAAACTTGTCTCATGTGGCTGCTTTTAATATTTATGTCAAACAGGAAATCAAACGTGCCAAAGATGACGGACTGTACGCTGATGTTAAAACACATTCCTCATACTGTGGATTCTGCATGACTTAAGCCTCAAGTGACCTACGTTTATACCAGCTGTACTGATATAGCTCTATGTTGCTGGTTTCTAATTTCCTAATAATAAGTTTCTGGAAACCACTACTGTAACTTGGTGATTGGGGGATTTAAATAATAATAAATATTAATTTAATACTTGTGTGTAATTGGGAACATTTTTCTAGATGTAATAAATTATTTTCATTGGTTGACTTTTAGAAAGACTCCAGTTATTGAGATCAATTCAAACAACGTGTCACTATTTCCAGGAAACTATTAGGAAATTATAGACTTGTACAAAGCTATTTAATTTGGAGAAGCATGCATGAAGAGTTTATTACATTGCTGCATTTCCTTTTGTGTCAGAAAGCGGAATTGGCTAACTTTGCATTAACAGGTAATACTGGTTTGTTACTGGTATAGTGGATGTTTTATGTCCACCAGGGGGCGGTAGAACAACATGTTACCACTTTAGTAAGTTGTTGTGATGACTGTGTCTGCAAACTGTTGCCAGTTTAGACAAGCAGCAGGAATAAAGACACATGATTGTCCATTACTGAGTTCACCTGCTGAATATCCATCAAATCTAATTTGGAAAGTTATGATGCCAAAGTCTGTCACTGTTCCAGATGGTGATTCCCAATGTTTGGTTGACTGAACGATTGAACAGTGGTACTTGGATAGATCTCCCCTTGGTGAACTTGTGTGTGCAGCGTTGCTACCATGAGACACTGCAGTCACATGTTTTTGCTACCATGAAGTCAATCAAAGCTCTCTTATCTTAGATCAGGACATCTAGCCTGTGGGCTGTGATACTATTTGCATTCTGCCTTTTAGTCATTTTAACTTATCCGGTGTTAACAGTCATGGGGGATCTAAAAGAGTAGCTTCTGTCACATTTTCACAGTCCTGAATCAACTATTCACCCCAAAAGTCAAACTTTCACTCTTTCAGCTGCATATTTGGTCTCCAGCTACTCTTAGAATTGCATCTTACAGTTCAGCTGCTGCATGTAACACTATACTGATCGGCTACTTAGATAGTCTGTGTAGAGCTGAGGAGAATCAAACAAACAAAAGCCTTCAATGCTTGTGGCGTTCCTTTGAAATTGGATTAAGTGTTGGTCCTATTTGGAACAGAACTGCACTTTGGTGTAAAGTGCGACGAAGTCGGACCACAAGACTTTCATGATTTCATATTGACTTTGTGGACTTTGACATTGACATGGTCACGGTGATATTTACCCAGATTTTGACATAAATCAGTCAAAGTAGACAATTTCAGTTTTAACCTTTTCTTGCTCAAATCAACCCTAACTTCTGGTGATTAAAAGAGGACTTTTGTGGATGCAAACATGGCTTCACCTTGTAGAAAATGTGTCTTTAAGTGCATTATCAAGAAGATATTCCACCAGCTTTGTCTTTGTACTTTGTTTCTGCTCCCCTCAAGTTGCCAAAAGATATTATTGCAGGTTTGGAATATTTACAGTTAAATACCTTCTGATTAACC